AGAAAAAAATCATAAGGAATACAGAAATACGTAGAATGGTGGTGAAAGAGAGAGAAAGAAAAAGCCTATCTAAATGTGCAGAAGCATCGATGAAGGAACACCACTGCTCATAATGAGATGTGACAGCGCAGTATAAACTGGAATATGAAGTGAACCATGATTACAGAGGATTAGATTAGCAACCACTATGTAGTACAGTGAGAAAGCATTTCAGGCCTGGCATTATTCTCTCTCTCGCTCTCTCAGTGTATAAATACTCTATGTGCTGCGTTTCTGTTCATGCATGTACAAATATGTGTGTGTGTGTGTGTGTGTGTGTGTGTGTGTGTGTGTGTGTGTGTGTGTGTGTGTGTGTGTGAGAGAGAGGACGGGTCGTGTGAGTGACTGCTTTGCCGTCATGTGAAGTGAGGCCAGCGCAGTATACGAGAGATAGCAGTAAGGTCAGCTCCACCTTCACTATGCTACAGGCTAGGATATGCAAACATGGCTGACAGTAGGTGCTTCATCACACAGTGGCAGCTTGACACAGGAGCCTTTCCTCTTGATTAATCCCCTCTGCTTGCTTCCTGCTATTAAACACTCTGCAACCATACAGTATAGGCAAAGCATAATAACACAAAGCTGTGTTCTTTCAGCATCTAATCTGTAAACCTGTGACGGAAAAAAAACAGCCTGCAATATGCTCCCAACAAGTAAATGTGGGATGTTTTTTTCCCCCTGCAGTTTCAATTTCAAGGACTCGTCAACAAAACTGATTAGTTCAATAACTGCGAGTACAAGATGGTACATTCAATTTCATGTAAACTTTTAACACACTACAACAAAGGATATATCTGTTTAGTTTGCATATTTTTCATTTTCTTCCTGGAATAAGTAGATGAGAAAAGTTTTGCTGACAGCGAGGCATTCCCAAACTGCCAGTGAGAATAACTTCCACCCCTCGCCCAATGAGCCGTCGCCATGTTGATGAAACACCTCTACCGTGGTTGTGACATTTTCACTTTCAGGAGTGGGCACTCTCTTTCTGCAAAACATCACTACAAGAGCATGCCTAAACATTTCCCATGCACAGCTTTCTTCATGACGCTGCTTCACTATCTCACGAAGCCAATGAGCCAGCTAATGCAGGCTGGGAGTGGAGGGGTTGAGGTGTGGTGGTGGTGTGGCAATCCACTTTCCCAGGTAGAGTCAGTGGAGCAGCTAACTGATTCCTCTCCCACATGCATTTTCATTTTGGTGTCTGTGGATTGGCCTCCCACTGTCGCTGTCTCGCATTCTCTCAACTTCACTTCATCATTCTAGACGTACATAAAAGGTTAATTTCCTCTGCCCCATTTCCCATAAAAGTGAGTTCAGCAATTGGTCTCTCTGCTAGATGAACTCCAGTTTTTCCTATCTGCATTCTGAAAGCAAACACAGATATGGGCCTGGTGGGGCTTACATTCGGTTATGACCCAACAAAGTCAATTCACAGGTAGCTGACGTCAAAGCGCCGACATGAGAAAGCCGCCCACTGTCGCAGGAGACCGTCGCAAAACATGATGATGGTGCACGGGCGTGGCGCTCGTGAATGTCATTTAACGAGGCTAATGGCCGCTGTCTGTTTGAGAGGTAGATCGATACGGTAATGAGGAGATGGAGGCACAGGTGTAATCACTGAAAGCCCAGCGGTGCTGAAATCCACAGAATAAAATAGAATAGGGTCCTGGGAGGCAGCAGGCTGACTGACACATTCAGTGAGACGCTTTCTCGCTACATCTTACTGATTCTAATGGCCTTAATGTCAGAGGAGGCATCTTTTCTTCACACGCTCTCAGGTTTTTTTCCTCTTTAAGTGCTGATTCTCACTATTTCAATGTATTCTGTCTAAAAATGTCCCAGGTTGGCAAAAAAACACCTGATGTGACGCGAGACCTAAGAAGGGTTCTTGATATGTTACCTTTATTATCACAAAGCAAGAGGTATAGGTGATGGTGATTAATGTGAGATATTAGTATAGCATTTAAGGTATAGTGGAGATGTAACACACACATTACTGGAGCTCATGCCTGGTGGATTTAAATGGAATTTCATTAAAGCTAAATGAAAGAATGATGACTTTTATAACTCCCACTGGCAGCATTTTTACAGGCAGACATTTCGCACTAATGACTTGAATATGAAATAGTGACCCCATCGCACTAAGCACAGTTTGAGTAAATTGGGCTCACTGGTAAAATAACCTTCACCGCAGTGTTGATAGTGCTTCTTACAGCAGGGGTTCTTACAGTTTTTCAGCCTCTGGACCACAACTTTAGTCTCTTGCCCCCTGGACCCAAGCTCATTTGAACATATTGGTAGTCTTGTTTTGTGATTACTCAACAACAGCAGGCCCGTGACCCAGTTATAGGCCGACTCTTGGCCTAATCAGCCTTACAGGTTCTTCACAGGTTGAGCAACAATAGGAAATACAGCATGTCTAAGTAATTAGTGTAAACTAAATGTTTTCTAACAACACCAGCCCAAGACAGCAAAGACAATCACAGTAAACATACGCACATCTATCCATTATGCATAGGGATGGATATACATGCTATCACTGACCCTGATATGAAATAGGACACACAAGGGTTGAACTGGCTGTGATACAAGTGCAGTGTGAGTGTCGGGACTGCCTACTGTTGATGGTGCGTCTGTGAAATCCATCTGTTTCTGGCCATGACTGGCCTAGTGAAGGGAACCAATGGAGTGAGACCTGATTTTGTGTCAAACGGAGCACTTGGATGGGGTGGTGTGTATGGATTTGGCGTGTGTGTGTGTGTGTGTTGGATCCTGTACTACAGCTTATGGTGTTTATGTGCATCCCAGTGAGAGCTTGTGCTATGAGCCAAGTTTGAGTCAGAGTTGCTGGACAGAATGGATGGAATGGACAGTGAGCAGGTTTTGCTCAGTGAAAAAAAAAATCTGTTTATGTTGTGACTAATCAAAAGGACAGCTGTGATGTGACCTCATATCCATATGCCATACCAGCATTTCACACAATCATGTTAAAGCAGAAAAAGCAGAACCGCGATCAGCAGATCAGAAGTTTAACGTGCCTTTGTAATGGCGTCATAACCTTGAAAATCATAACAGTAATTTCTCTTTTTTATCTGTGTAATTAATCTATATTGCTTTGTTTCTTGAACTCTTGAAGTTGACAAGACCTGATTGAGTCCCATATGTGCATAGTGCAGTGGAAGCCGACATCAGACAAACAGAATTCACAACAAGAGGAAACATAAAAGTATGAATACTAAAAAGAAAAAGTGAGTACCAAGTAATGATGAGTGGTTTCAAACAAATCATAACAAAACGCACTTACAAATCAGTCAAGAACAGTCTGTGGCAATTTGTAGGTTATGAATGACTTCAAAAAGTACCATATTAATGACATTAAACAACTGGAAGTGTTGCAGTTCCTTTAACAGCCACCTTTGATCACCCATGTGAGAAACAATACAATAATTGAACGTGACGGCATGTATAGTGAGATAGTACAAAAGACTTACAAGAAATTAAGAGTGGGATATTATCGGCTTCTGCGCTGCAAAATGTCACTTACAATAAAGGCCCCTATTGTCAGCTGGCACAGGGAAGAGTGCGGATATTTAGTCTGAAATGATGAATTGATCTCAGTTAACTTATGGACGCTGGACAACCCAGAGGTTGTCATTTAATGATAAATGGACGCAATACTGAGCAACAGGGACAGCAAGTCAAGGATTTGGGGAGGGAGACTTAGTACATGATGGATGATAATCATGCATACTATGTGGCATTTAAGAGAGAGAGAGAGAGAGAGAGAGAGAGAGAGAGAGAGAGAGAGAGCCAGAGAGAGAGAGAGTGCGTGTGTGTGTTTGTGTCGTGGATGCTTTTTGGCAAAAAATGATTAAATGTTTATTGAAAACAGCGGCAGGTGCCATTGTAAAGCAGCCATCATGTTCTTCTTTGGTGAGTTTAACTATAACCTGTATAAAAGGGAAACCATCTTCACACTGGACTAAGCTAGTACCAAGAGTAAAACAAAAATACTGAATTTATCCTGCAACAAACAAAATGTAATGTAAAACAATTTGGAATGGATTTGAAGCTTTTATAGAAGACATGTTTAGTAGTTTGTATATACACTATGATGTTGAATCACTAATGATGCAATGAAGTAAGAGAAAGAGATGATGGGGAATCATCTGAAGCAAGCTGAGATTAGTGAAGGGGTGCTAAACAAGTAAAAATCTAATCAGTTACCAAAAATATGTTCGGTTTTTCGAACAAACATATAACATGATAAGCTCAGGGTATAAAGAGATAAATACAGACAGTAATGTTTTATTGGGCTTTTCAGAAGAGTGGTATGTTTAGTTTTGTGAGTCTTTTCATAAGATGCAGGAATCTGTTGGCTCAACACTGACGATGTGTCTGTGTTCGTGCCACTTCCAAATCATTTCGGAAAAGTCACCCACAGTAGGATAAAATACTTCCAGTGTGTTACTGACACCTCCCTGTTGCCAAATTGTTAACAGAAGCAAATCATTGTCACTGTGAATTCACAGAAAAAGCAGTTTGAAGCCAATAAATGATCAAACGTCTGTCACTCACACTTGCCACAGAGGCAAACTATATTAAAATACAGAAAGTCACACTCAGAAGGAGGCAGATCGGGTGTCTCTGCAACGACCAGCGCTGTATTGTGTGATTGAATGAATACAACCCACAATTGGTAACCCCTCCGTCTCACCAATGGGCTGTACGGCGTTGTAAAACACACTTCATTGAAACTCATCGCAACCGTGAGCATGCAGCCATAACTGGCCACCAAAAACATAATGCAGTTTGCTGCATCAGAATATGAGATTAGCCATGGACAGGCAAAAAGGTGCACACTCACACACTCACGTGCTCGCATAATCCTCCAGGCTGTAACAACAAACAAATCAAATCCCATAGTACAATGCTCACTATACAACATTGGCGTCACTCACCCTTCCCTGTTTTCATCTTCATCTGCGTTGGAGAGGAGCTGCGAGCCAGCCAGCGAGAGGTCAAGAGCTGCGAGGGGCAGATCTCTGTAGCCAAAACTCACCAGCTGGACCGGAGGAGCCAAGTACTGGTTCTCATTCTCCACTGGCTGGGAGATGATCTCTAAGTCCGACAGACCGGCCTGCTCCACTTCCCTAGTTACATGCCAACACAGGCAACAGAAGGACAAAAGACACAAATACACATGCAAAGCACAAAGAGGAGACAAAACAGAGAAAGGCATTATTAAAAACATTTATTTTTTAAACATTTCTTAAATGTGTGCAGAAATATTACATCTCACCAGTAAAATCAATTTATAATTGATGCTAGTCTGGATAAAAGTGTATGCCATGTCTGATTAATGTCATTCTCTGGTTAAATAAGTCTCAAAGAAGCCATCTTTTTTTTTTACATTTCAGGTAAATATTTAAACAGTTTCAATACCAAAACCACACTATAATGACATTCATCAATTATCATAAAAGTAGCGGATGTAGCCAAGATAACAGAGCGGAAGATAAGGACAGAAAGGGTCTTGTTGAAGAAGCATATACTGTATGAGCACAAAAGCAGTGCAGATAAAAAAAGACTAATTATTCAGCCCAGCAACTTCACTAAGAACACACTCTTATTTACAGTGACGGCCTCGGGGAGCAAACACAGGGTCGGGGAGGGTCACACACAAACACCCACTCAGCATCAGGGAGCTACTGAGAAATCACACAACCCTACACTGTTGAGAACCAGAGGAGTTACAGGTATCCAGTGCCTTGCTCAAAGACAGAGAATACTGGGGGGGAGCGTGTGTTGCTGTGACTGTTCAGGTCTCCTCAATCAGTCTGGAAACTTCTTGCCATCGATATGCAACAGTAAACCAGCTTAGTTCAAAAACAGTTGCACTGATGCAAGAGGAGGAGGGGACAAATTGAGGTCAGCTGACTACTGAGAGGCAGATACTACCTGATATTTTACACATTGGAAACAATGTGGTAATAATTAGAGATTACTGTAGTAAACAACTATAAAGGTTTATCTTTGTTACACTGTAGATTAACGTCACTGCCAGATTCTGTACACTCTTTGAATCTTCATGTTTCTCAAAATAATTATTTAAATGTAACACCAGTATTATCCCAAGTTTGTAATGTTAATTTGATAATTGCAAATATTAAGAGTCTTTCTATCCAAGATATGCTTCTTAGCAAGTAAGCTAATTCAGCTACTTAGTTGTGGAAGCTCGTCTTCAGCTAATGTTAGCTAGCGAGCTAATGTTAGCTAGCGAGCTAATGTTAGCATGAAATAAAGTAGGGTGATTTCATTACACTGGTAAATATGCTCACATTATTGTAATTAAAGTGCATTTTCTGTAAAACAAAATCAACTCTGTGATATCATTTTTTCTGAGGTAAAAAAAAATCTACATGCACCAAATGTTAAATAGTTTTGCTGTGTAAAATAATGAATGGTGATGTGAATCACAGTTGATACTGTACTGTATATACCTGCAAACATTGTTCACCCAATTGGAGTTATAATACATTACATCTATGGGATTTTGGGGAATACCTGGAATATATGAAAGACTGAAATATTGACATAGAAACAGACCAGCCTGATATTTTCTGAACCATATGCCTTTAAGGGTAAATTGAATACATTATTACAGTATATGGCATTGTAGTTTATTTCTCTTAATGCAAATTCACTTTTTGTCAATATTTTCAATGTATTAGGTTTTAATGAATGTAATTCACAATGAAAGCATTGATCAATTTGACAAGAGAATTCCAACAAGAAAGTTGAAATTAATTTGTGCGGTAAATGACAGGTTGGATGTTAATCGAATTATGCCAACCTTCCTTTGTGTTCATAGCAGCAAACCTCCGCCCTACACCCTTACCCACCAAGAGACTTTAAACCTTAATATGTAAACACATCAAAGCTCCTCAGTTGTGGCCCAGCAGCACATAACCCTGCGTGCCCACAAGCCCCAGTTGTGTAAAAGCTGGGCCATCTCAGTAGAGCGTGGAGGTGGAAACAAATGCTGAGTGCAGCTGCAGACTGACTGTGTGTGCCCTGTGGTGTGTATTTTTAGACCAGAGCAGATGCTGGTGTATCATGTCTAACTGTGACGTCATCGCCTCTCCCTTTGTCAGCTGAGTGGATCCCCACTCTCCTTCAAACGTCAAAGGAAGTCAAGAACAGGGTGAATGGGGAAGGGAAACTAGAGCAGAAGTGGGAGAAAAGAGGGATGGATATCAGGGGTTATACAAGAAGGCACAGGGGCGGGCAATAGAGAAAAAAAGGATATATGAGCAATAAAATCAGAGCAGATGGGGAAAAAAGGACCTGAGAGACTGTGCTGGAACCAGAAAGAGGCGCGAGAGAAAGAGCCATGGGGTAAAGAGGAGCTCAAAGGTTCAGGAGGAGAACTGGTGATGAGAAGAGGAGGTCATACATAAAAGTAAGAGTGAAGAAAAATTAAAAAAAATGTAAGACAGAAAAACATAAGGGTAGAGAAAGGAGGAAAGGGAGAAAAAGAAAGTGTAAATCTAGAGAAGATTAGAAAGAAGAGAGGAGACGGTATACCTCCTTTTACTCACAAATACAAATATTATATTCCAAACTTAACGGCAAAACCATGACACTGTTATAAGGACAGTAAAAATGTGTGCTTTTATTGTGACATGATATTGCAAGTCTTTCTCTATTTACCTCATGGCTAAGGCACTCATAAAACACAAAGAATAACTGCAGCTTGATTGTAGTAATGGTTGTGTGCAAACAGAACAACAAGGGTATTCCCAGCAGCCATTCGCCATACACCGAGTCCGAATACACTTTCTCCACTTAGCGTTTCTGAAGTCCTCACTTCCTATCCTCCCTCCTCCTACAGTCATCCTCAAGCTGCCGTGATAGACAGCACTGAGTGACCTAAAACATTCAGAGAGGCACGCAATCTGACAGACAGGCATACCTTTAGGGAAGGATAGACAGGTAAACAGGACAAATAGATATGCAGGCAGATAACAGATAACCTCCCAACACACACACACACACCATGACCTTATATCACGACCCAACCATTAAAATATACAGTGATAATGTCAATGCTAAAGGACCTTTGATGGAATCTGGAGTGACCTGAGCTGTTGAAGGGCATCTTAATATCTGCAAGTGTGTGTGTGTGTGTGTGTGTGTGTGTGTGTGTGTGTGTGTGTGTGTGTGTGTGTGTGTGTG